AGTACAATAAAACAAAAGAAAATGGGGGGGGGGGGGGAAGGAATTAAGTTGTTACACAATAATAGAAAATATGATTTTTTAAACAGGAGCCTACAAAGAAACGTATGTGTACACATATATATTGTCAATATTCCAATTAAACCATCTCTTTGGCATCATATCCCCTAATTCGAGAGTTAGAAGAACGGGGCGAGAGAGCTATTACTCAAAACTCTTAGGTATGACAAAATTATTGTTTGACTAAGAAAATTAAAGTCCTTTTTTTTTTTTTTGCAGCAAATGCGTACTATTAATTTACTCTATATCAATCAATCATATTCTATATAAATATACAAACTCTTATTAAGCATTCACACTTTTCATAACTTTTGTGGTTTCCTGAAATCTATCCCAATTGATGGGCATAAAATTCATAATCTTCATTCTTTACATTATCATCAGCATTCTTCAACCCTTTCCATATTTTTGCGGTACCGCTATTCTTTACTTTATTCAACCGGATATCATTCTCATTATTAAATGCAATCCGATCAGGTTCTTTTATAGTCCTCTTCTTTAAAATTGGTGCAAGTGGAGTATATGAGGGTATTAATGTTGAATAAGTTCTACTTGCCTGAGTTCCAGAAGATATTGTTGGTCGTAGGCTTAAATTGGCAGGAACTGGGGTGGCTGTAGTCATTGTAACTATCGTTAACAATACATTAACTAACAACAACAACATCTGTTAAGAACTTCTTTTGATATTGTATTCGAATGTGTGGCTAAAAAAGAATAATTAACAGGGCCGTTGTCTTTTATTTATAATTTTTACAATTTTAACAAGACGACGACGGGGTCATTCATTCAACTAACTGAATTAAGTTATAACATTGACAAAAGGTGTCGACTTACTCAATTAGGAAACAAATTCTGGGGGGGGGAATCGTTGAGCCTCCCATTGTTCCTCCCAAAAGTTTCTCCTTTGTGAATAAAAATAGAATTTTTTTGTTCTTCTTTTAATTCGTGCACGAGAGGATGGATCTCTCCATTGTTCAGATTTCTGAATTGAGAAACAATTTAACCTAATTTCTTTCAACGATAGCCTATTTTGTAAATCACGAAATTGACACCACGGGTTTACTTGACAACGTTGAACCCCGTTTTTGTGTGTTTTGGATTCGCATGGAGAATGTGAGAAAATGGTGCTGCAAAAAGTTTGATACGGGAGTTGAAGAAAGGGATAATTCTTTGTCTCTAGAAGGTTGGTTCATCAGAGTTTTCCTTGTAAAATATTCATCAGCCACGCGTATTTTCTCCCTTGATTTATTGTCCCCTTATTCTCATGACTCTTACATACGTCATAAGAGCAATCAGCTTTATTCCAGATCCAAGTTATTTACACAATAAATACAATTCATAAATTTTCTCCTATACACTGTAAAAAACCATAATACTACAAACCAGAAAGTACACTCAATACACTTCCCGAACTCTAATCTCACCATCTTGATGTGAGCCATCAGATTGCTTTTCATTTATAATCTCGGTTGTAATTATTTCTCCATCCATACTAGAATTACTAGTACTACTACTATCAGTTGCACGATGTAAGTTTGGCCTTCCATCTTCACGTTTACTACCATTCTCTAATTCTAGCAATGCATTCAATACACTCTGGGGTTCATTTGGTGCATTTGCAAAGATTGGAATATCACCCAAATTATCCATACCTAAATCTAAACTAACAGTACTATCTCTTCTCATTAATCTCATTCTTGTTGTGTTATTAGTATCAATAGGTTCTTCAAATCCACCTGCGCCATATATCCGATCATAATCTTCAAAAATCCCAGGATTATATTTCCGACAGAATTCATTAACTCTGAAACCTAATTCTTCTCTCATTAATTTTATAGTTTCAATTTCGATTTTATTAGATTTCCGGGATATTAATGAAATAAATAATGGTTTTAACGATTTATAATAATCTAATCCAATTTCCCCTGCTCTTAATGAGGCATATGTTGTTAAAAGAGCCAATGCATAACAAGATGCAAAAATCAGAACAACATTATTGAAGGGGAATAAATGACCAAAATATACCGTACCAATTATTGAATGGAAAATATACAACATTGGTGCAATAACTAATGCAACTAATACTTTCCAAGTACTTATAACATCAGTGGCTCTAATCTTAACCACACTACCTGCCAATGCTTGTTTTTGTTTTATTTTAGATATATGATTTCCAATAACAAATACTGGACTAAATAAAATGACTCCTGGTAAACTTAATCCCCAAAATAATGCAACTTTAAAAGCACGACTAATAACCATAAATAATAATTTAATTCTATTTGATTCATATAATGATTGAACTTGATTATCATGAATTCCCATAAATCTTAATTTTTCATTATATTTCAAAACCAATTTCCGTAATTCTACAACATCGGGGGCATTTTCATGTTCTTGATAACTCTTGACTAATCTTCTATTCATTTCAACCACCATTGGTAATGGAACATGTTCACGATTTGAAGAACAATGTAACCTTCTACAAGCTTGAAGCACCATTAATGTATCATAATCGGGGCAAGTTACGGTAACTTCTCTTAATCTAACCGAAATCTCTTCTAATAATTTATTAACCGATTCTCTTGGATTTTCAATATATTCTTCTCCCATGGCCCTATTAACAATAATTGGTTTTCCGAATTCTAAAACCACCCGAGATCTAAATCTATGAGCATGGAAATAATTCAATCCGGCAGGAATAACACATATATTCTCGACATTATCACCCTGTTTAAGTTTATTAGCAATCGCACCTAGGGCCATAATAGCAACTCCCGGTTTCAATGGTAATAAATCAGGACGATCATGACTTCCACCTTCGGGAAAAATACCCAATACTCTCCCAGAATTCAAATGATCAAAAACATGTTGGAATACATCATGATTATCAACATGTGGAGCGGTTTTGAAGGTTGTACCTTGTGATAACTTTTGGATTATTTTTTGTTGGATATTTTCATATTCAGATTTAAATGGCAGTTTTAAACGTAGATGAGTATCATCTACAACTTCTTGAATTTGGGAATTGGCAACTCCAATTCCAAGTAATCCCTTTGGTTCACATACTTGAGTGAACTTGGTTCCTTGACCGATTATCATACATTGAGTAGGATCAGTAATATCCAACGAAACAGTTCCTGTTGCTGGCTTTAATAAATCCTGAGCCCGTTCTACTGGGATTGCACTACATAATCTAGCACCTTGACCAATAATTTTTCTTTGGTAAGAACTTTTAGCAATCAAGAATGAAATTCTTCTCCCCAGTCTAGCTTTGACTTCTGACATAACAATTGGACCATCGATGAATTGATTATGATGAGGCGCAATCACGAAGATAACTGGACCAGTGGGTGGGATATTATATGTCCCTCTTGTCTTGATATCACGAAAGAATGTATGAGTGATTGAACTGAATAAAAATATTGCAAGATCAAAACATAATAATCGAATAAATAGTCGGAAATATTCCAATAATGATTTATGAGGTTTTCTTTGATTGACTTCCATTGTTATTTGGATTTCTTAGATTGTAAAATAAAGAGAAAGATTTACATGTCGATGATGATAAATAGATGAAAGTATAAAGGTTTTATATGATTTTTATAAAAAAGTATAAAGAATTTTTTTAATTTGGGGGGTGGAGGTGGGGTAGAGAAGTAATTAGACAATGGGGGGTAGTAATTACTAAGAATTTTTTTTAATTTAAATTAAATTAAAATTGGAAGACAGGATTTGTTCTTTAAGGGCTCAAGTAAAGAACATCAGAAAAATGCTTCCAGAAGTTCACCGTTTAAGGAAATCAAACTGAGAGTGTATCCTTATAGACCCAGCTAAATGGTCCACTATAAATCATCAGATACATAAGACATGTAAAAGATCAATGGTGTTTAATTAAAACAAGACAAATTAGAATTATTCAATCTTCGACTGGCCACCAACCGAAACGATCATACGCTTTGACTTAAGACCACCCCCTTATAAGATTTTACTATTAGTATGAAATTTCTTGGTATTTGAAAAACTCAAATAAAATTTAAATCGACTAATAACCTTCCCCACATATTAAGGATTAAAAGAAGGTTTCTTTAATATAGGATTAATTTTTTGTTCTTGTAATTGTTGCCAATATTTTCAGTTCGCATAAATTTGCAGCCAAAAATTTTCAAATTGAAATCGTCCTGACTATATAAACCCACTCTTTAAAGTCACAAGCTTGCAAATGATTTATACAAGAACCAGATAATACACTCTAGTATATTCTATCAAACTATCAACTTGAAATAATCATTGGATCTAAGTATATCTGCTAATTTTATTTTGGAATGTTAATTTCAAATTAAACTTTAAACTTTGCTTGATTTTCTGTGAACTTAAAAAAATCACCTGACCTTGCATAATCTATGTGTAAACTACTACTTTCCTTCCAAAGCACAACCCTAAAACCTTTTACTCACCTCCTTTAACAAGGTAGTATAAATATCAAGTGTTGGTTGCAAATTTGAGTCAAAAAAGTGCCCATTCTAGAGTGGACATTACAGTTGTGAGAAAATTCACTTAGAGCTACTACATATTTGTATGATCATATACATGCACCCCTAGAAAACTTTATCAAAATGACTGTTAAAAGGAAGGTTTCAAATGAAAAAAACAAATGTTAAGAACATCGACGAATAAAAACCCTAAATATTTGTCAATCATGGGGCGGTCAATGTTGTCACAGGATAACAAAACTATTAACTATTAAGTCATTATACTTTTGGGTTAAACCAAATTTATCAAAAGTTTAAGAATCAATACTCATTTCCATTCCGCGGCAGTGATTTGTTTTTACAGGGGTCAAACTATAATCCCAATTCAAGAATAAAATGCGTTCAATATTGTCAAGTATTCTAAGACCCAAGATTTAATCGAATCTTGCAGGTCAAAGAGCAATCATCACAGTCTTTCTTTTCTTGAATTTAACAACAATAAATTGATAGAAAACTGGGATACAATGGTTTTAGAGCGCTTTTGTCATGGTTTAGAGCAATTTTATTTCCAACCAACAAAACTGACATTTCACAGGCTTAGTAATGAGCCATTCAATTGTTAAATTTAACTTTTAATACTTTAACAGATACAACAGTTATTTATCACATGAATGTCTTCTTGTCTATAATTCGGTGAAATAAATTCAACTGGTTAATTGTAAATCCCGAAATACATGACAAATTGGGTTTTTGTTCCGTACACTTTGAAGAATTACAAATATTTCTCTTTTTGTGCCGGATCCGATACGGCCGAAATATTTCCCAATTGAGGTTGTTCCCGAGGAAAAAATAATTGACATAAAAAAATCCGTTGCTTATTCGAATATTGAAAGAAAAGCCACAGTTTAGCCGTTACACAAACTTCTCAGTTTTCGTCAACTCATTGCGAGGAACCTTCTAGAAAGAGGGTATTCCCAAGATGTACAATCCGAGATGTCGATACCTCTCAAGTATGTTAGCTATCAAATTGGGCGCGAGTTCATGCGTACATAAAAAATACAAAATTTCTTTTTTGGCCTCTCAGCAAATAACAATCTAGTTACAAAAACACATCCTCCCCTGATAAGGAATGGGTAATATTTGAAATTGAATAAGATACACTATCAGGCTGATACCTATTCAATTTCGAATCGAGCGTTTTGTTTCACTATCAGTTTTTTGTGTTTCATTTGATAACAGCTTTACAATGATTAGTAATGGATTTGGTAATCGGTTAGCCACAGATATTTAATTGATTACAAAAAATAATATCGGCACAAAACTGATTCCTTCCGAGTCTTGAAAAATTTTCTAATCAAGAACGTGTATAAATACCTCTCTTCTTCCTCCCCATTCTCAAACTCATCCTTTCCTTTCATACAACAAACAAACAAACACAACACTAATAATGACCTCTTCAAGATTTCAATCCTCCAATTTATTCAAACCAATCAAGATCGGCAACGTCACCCTCCAAAACCGTATCGCCCATCTTCCAACCACCCGTAATCGTGCCGCCAATCATGTTCCAACCGACTTAATGAAACAATACTATACCGACCGTGCCAAATCAGGATCATTACTCGTTACCGAAGCAACCTTAATCTCGTTAAATCAAGGTATTTACCCATTGGTGCCAGGTATTTTCACCAAACAACAATCCCAAGCCTGGAAGGTGATTGTTGATAGTGTTCATGAACAAGGTGGGGCTATTGCATTACAATTATGGGCATTGGGTAGAGTTGGGAATGCGAAATTGTTAAAAGAGAATGGATTACCTTTGACTGGTCCTTCACCAATTTATGAACATGAACAAGCTGAAAAAGATGCCATTGAAGCTGGGAATCCAATTAAAGAATTAAGTGAGGGTGAGATTAAGGATATTATATATAATCAATTTAGTAATGCTGTTAAATTGGCCGATGAGGCCGGGTTTGATTTTATTGAATTACATGGTGCCAATGGATATTTATTTGAACAATTTATTCATCCTGGTATTAATCAAAGAAAAGATACTTATGGTGGTGAATCGATTGAAAATAGAGCTAGGTTTTTATTTGAAACTCTTGATCATTTGTTTACGTTAGTTGATTCCAAGAAATTGGCTATTCGTCTTTCTCCGGTTAATTTATTCCAAACTCCTGAAGTCAATCCTTCATTCGTGGAAGATTATACTTATATCGCTAAAGAATTACAAAAAAGGGCTGATGAAGGTCATGAATTGGGATATATCAATTTAGTCGATGGTAGATTTGCCGACGCTACTATGGAAAAAACCACAGCTATTGATTTAGGATTCATTCATGATATTTGGAAGGGGGTTATTATTAGAGGTGGTAATTACACTTATGATGAAGGGTGGAAACAAATTGAAGCTGATGCTAATGAAGATGATAGAACTTTGGTTGGTTTCGGGAGAAATTTCATTGCTAATCCAGATTTACCCCAAAGAATTAAGAATGGTTGGTCTTTGAATAAATATGATAGAAATACTTTTTACACTCCAAGTAATTTTGGATATAATACTTATCCATTCCATGATGATTCTACTCCAGTTGATGAAGAAGCTGAAAAAAGTAGATTTGGTGTTGCTTTAGCTTAGATGTTTTCCCGATGGGTATTTATATATTTTGTTTATATTACCTTGTATTAATAAATTAACTGATAGAATATCTATAATTCCATTATTTTTCTAATCCTCACCAGCCGGTACTTCGTCTTTCAATACTTTAATTAATCTCAATCTCATTTCTGTCCTCTCATCCCCTCTCAATGAATCCTTCACAAACATAACCTCACAATCCAACAGTACCATCTGTAATGCTCCCCTCAAAACACCACACAAAATCTGAGAATACCATAATTCCTTCGCAATCTTTTCATCACTCATAATTGGCAATTCAACAAATTCTGTCAAGGGGTTAGGTTCAGGCAACACCAACACGAAAGTATTTGGATCATTTGTAGATTCCACAATTGGTTGGATATTTAAAAATAATTTAAAACCTAATTTTGAAATTACATCGATTGTTTCTTTAAAATTTGAACATCTTTTTATACCTGTTTTAGCTAAGAATTCTTCAATTAAGCGAAGCCCAATATTATAACCCATCTTATCTAGTTGATTGTTGACTTCTTGATAATTGTTTTGGAAATCTCGACAGAGTTGGGCTACTACTGATCCATATGTGAGGGTGAATAATTCTGAGTTCTAACATGGCATTAATTGTTAGTAAAATGTGGATGGGGTTACTTGCTTTTCATTGGAAGGTTTTGATACATACTATTTTCTCGACATTTGATTTCCATATATCGTCTTCTCCTGTCTTTCTTGACATTGTCTTGTAAAGGTGTGGTGTGTTCTTGAAGTAGTGAAGGAGTTGTTGAATTCTTTTAATTTTTTTACAACACGCGAAAATAGACAAAATGTAAAAAGGAGGTTTGGTGTAAGAAATTGGGTGCGAAATCAAACAGACATAGAAATGGATATAAAAACACACTATTAAACATTATTATTATAAACTATATATTATTATTATTATTATTAAACAATTAAATAAAACAACTATCAACAAATATTAAAGAAATTTAAAAAATGACACAAATAAAAAAACAACATTAACAATCACATTAACAAAATACCGAAAATTTGCATAAAGCTCAAGGCATGGCAAGGCAATGAGATTAAATTTCCTTTTTGGATTCAGTATTAACTGGAGTGGTAGCACGAGAAGATGATTCACTACTTGACCGACTTGCAGACTTTCTTGCTTCCTTTTTAGCTAAGAATTCTTTATATTTCGTTAAAGTAATATGATTTTGTAATTCCTTGTATTCATTAACAAATTTATATTGAGTATTATTAACCGTATCCCAAATGGTAAAGAAAGGTTGGGAGAAATTATTTTTAATACCCCAAATTTGATGATGAATATCATGATAAACTGAATTATTGGGGAAAATAATTTGAAAAATATCAAATGGTAATCTATAACCACAATGATCATCAACAGTTTTTAAAGTAGCAAAAGTATATAAAAAGATACTTTCACGATGAGATAATCCTGTGATTAAACCGGCGATTCCAGTACCTAAAGTATCCAATAAGAACCCTTCAACTGGATCATTATATAATGCACCATAAGCATAAGGGACATATAATCGATGATGTCTTGAATGAAATCTTTTATATAAAGTTTTATTGACATGCATAATGCGATGTAACCAATATTGCCATGAATCAATTATACAAATAGCAACCACTACTTTTAAAATTGAAATTCCATACATATAACAATAATAAACCATTATATCCGGTAAGAACCCATATTTTTGTTTTAATGACCACATTTTATAAAATTCATCACCAGTTGAATTAATTGGATCAATACAATAAACAATATATCCAACAATAGTTTGAATTATATGTTGGAATATAACATCACGTACAACTTCATGTAATGTAACTTTATTTCTTGATTCTTCTTCTTCACTTGGATGAATTCTATATTTTTCTGCTAATTCATAAATATCTAATATATGGAAAAAGGTAGCATAAGACCAATAAGCTACAATAGGAGCAATAAGGGCCAATATACCATCAGGGATCCCAGGGATTAGACTTTGTTGGGGTATTAGAGTGATATTATCAAGTGGATAAGTCGGTTGAGAAAGAATCGATGAAAGATTCTTGGGTGGATTAATTGAATTCATATAAAATGCCGGGAAAAAGAATGACTTAATGCGAAGTAGTAGTAGTAGCCGGTAGCCGGTAGTAGTAGTAGTAGTAGTGGTAGGTACTGGTGGTAGGTAGTAGTGGATATGTATTGACCTGAGGGAAAGGGTCTTCTTATGTTTATATATACTTCTTGAATAAAAAAATAAATTAATAAATAGAAATGGAAGAAAAAGAAGAAGAAAAACTCCTTATAAAAATATTGTTACAATTACAGTGCGTATTTAATTTAAAACTGAGTTATTTTATTTTAGTCAGTTGATTTTTTTTTCTGGTTTTTCTTTTTATTTTTTAATTTTTTTTAATTTTTTAATTTTTTAATTTTTTAATTTTATTTTTTATTTTTCCTCTGTGTTTAAGGTTTCCAAAAGTTAAACTCAAATTTTTATTGCCGGTCACATGATCATTTCCGAAAATAGGGAATTTATTAACTTTACGTTTCATAACCATATCACCAACTGACATACCAACTCTCCGCAATATCTTCCAAACTTTGGAGAATGTAGAATGTGTACTAAATAAAAGAGATTATTTCTTATGGAAATTACAGGGGGATACTCACGCACACAACCACTAGTACAATGACTAACGAAAATAAATGTAAAGCCCTGACTCGGCTTCGTCTATATAACCTTTATTTACAATTTTCAAAAATATTCAAAGATCACCACCAGGATAGAATGCAAATTAACATAGACTATAGAAACCCTACCCCTATATCTTCTATTGTACGTATTTGGCTAATTTTGGTGGTGTTCCCATGCAGGCGTGGGTAGTACACTACGCGTCCTTTCTTTCTTCGTCTGTGTGAGGTTGCAATTTATTTTTTTACACCAGCCGATCTTCTGTTGCATAGTTTTAGCGATTTTCGCAGCACCAGGAGAGGCCACTATGAGCTGATCTTTCATACGCAACAACATTTTTCATCAAATCATACGATTTGTAATTGTAATTTCAAGGGAGAGAATACTTTTTTGGAATTATTGAAGTGTATGACTCTGCCAAGAGATCTATTGATGGATACTTAGGTGTTAATTAAATGAATTTGCCATCTTTCGGCGATGACGGCTTGTGGAACATAAAAATCCGAAATGAGAGTACATGTAAGTTCATGCAAGTTGTTCTGGAAAAGATCCAAGAGAACCCGGATGGAGGGGGGTTGCAATTTTGCAGCCAGATAGGGAGAGTAATTAAAATAGAAGGGTTGACTACAAATACATTTTCAAATAACCGTAAGTTTTCATTTTCATTTTCTACTTACCTATAAACGAACACAGCGTTAAAATAAATAAGAATAATAGTCAACATAATAATAATATAAAAATTCTAACACAAGTACACAAATACACAAATACTCCAGGTAGTTGAGCTTTTAATTCAAACAGTTCATCTCTAACGTCTGATAGCAGCTCTGACAGCCTTGACTTGAGTATATTCATGCAAGACTTCTTCACCCATTTCTCTACCAATACCACTGGCACCATAACCACCAAATGGAACCATACCATTGAAATCATTATAAGTATTAACCCAAACAGTACCGGCCTTAATTCTAGCAGAAACATCATATACAGTATGAATGTTATCACTATGAATACCAGCAGCTAAACCATATTCGGTGTCATTAGCCAAATGAACAGCTTCATCAACAGTTTCAAACTTGATTAAACTAACAACTGGGCCGAAAATTTCATCCTTAACAATATCCATATCACGATGAACATTAGCAAAAATGGTTGGTTTGACGAAATAACCTTTACCGGCACATCTTTCACCACCAGTGACAACGGTGGCACCTTGTTCTTTACCTAATTCAATATATTTCAAAATCTTAGATAATTGAATATCAGAAGCTTGAGCACCCATGAAAACTTCTTCATCAAATGGATTACCTAATTTGACACCTTCAGCTGCAGCTTTGAATTTGGCAACAACTTCATCATAAACTCCAGATTGGATTAAAACACGTGAACCAGCACAACAAACTTCACCAGAGTTATAGAAAATGGCAGTAATCAAATGTTGAATAGTAGAATCGACATCAGCATCATTAAAAACAATATTTGGTGATTTACCACCTAATTCCAAAGTACATTTCTTTAAATTTGATTCAGCAGCAGCCTTCATGATTAATCTACCAGTGGCAGTAGAACCAGTGAAAGCAACCTTCTTGATTCTTGGATGGGAAGCAATTGGGGCACCAGCAGTTGGACCATAACCAGAGATAATGTTAACAACCCCCTTTGGTAAACCAGCTTTGACTAATAAAGTAGCCAAAAACAAAGCACTCAATGGAGTAGATTCAGCAGTCTTTAAAACAGTAGTACAACCAGTTGCTAAAACAGGACCTAATTTCCAACTTGCCATTAATAATGGGAAATTCCAAGGAATAATTTGTCCACAAACCCCAATTGGTTCTCTTCTAGTATAATTGAAATGAGTATTACCAGTTTCAATGACAGTACCTAAAATCTTATCAGTCCAACCAGCACAACTTCTGAAATAAGCAGCTGTTAATGCGACATCACCTCTAGCATTTTGTAATGATTTACCATTATCTAAGGATTCAATTTGTGCTAAAGTTTCGGCATTTTCTTCAACCAAATCAGCCAATTTGAGTAAAACATCCATACGTTGAGTTGGAGGACCAGTTGCCCAATCAGTGTTGTTATAAGCTTCTTCAGCGGCAACTACGGCGGCCTCGACATCTTCTGGAAGTGCTTCATAAACTTCGGTAATTAATTCTTCGGTGGATGGAGATACAACTTCCATGGTTTTCTTTTGTTTTGGATAAACAAATTCATTGTTGATGAATAAACCAGTTGGTTGTTCATAGGTTAAACCCTTTGGGGTGGTGATTTTGACGGATAAAGGTAAAGATTTACTCATTTTTTGTTTTAGTAGTAGTGGATGAAGTGTTGTTTTTTTGCAATTGTTAAGATATTCCAATTGAAAACTAAAGAGAGAAAGGAAGAAGAAAGTAGAAATTGAAAAATCGAAAACAGGGAGAATTCAATTGATATTTATATTCGAATATACCCCTCCTCAATAACAAGGAG